GTCGAGTCGGCCCTGTGCGGGTCGAGCCTCTTTTTTTTGACGAGCTTTTGTTCGGCTCAGCTCGAGCCCGAAAAAAGCCCGCTTGATTTTACTCAAACCGAGCCCGAGCTTTAAGTTTCGACTCACAAGCCGACTCGATTCGACTCGACTCGTTGACATCCGTAGATAAGTATGCATGTTTCATTTTTAAAATGCTATTCGATCTGATGAAGTGAAATATATAAATCATCTACAAAGGAGAATGATAAATCTCTTATTTTTCTTTCCTTGTGCCTGTTTATTACTTCTTTTTTTTTTTTTTTTTTCCCGCCCTTTTTTTTTTTTTTTTTTTTTTTTTTTTTGTCCTGCCATTTTTCTAATTTATTTTTTCGTTTATTTCAAAATTTAAGGGCAAAATTATCTTTTTCACATCAAGTGTGTTTAACAAAATAAATAGATAGAACCAAACGGAATGGGCATTTGTGCAAATAATGGTTGATCTAAAGGCCTAAACGTCAAAATTAAAGATATAGACGATTTTTGCAATGTAGATAAATAATATGGTTGATCTAAAGAACTAAATGCCAAAATTAAAGATATAGACGATTTGGGCAATGTAGATAAATAATATGGATAATTTGAGTAATGTAGATAAATGATCCTTTTACTCCCATTACCCATGATTTTAATTTAGGATGTGATTCAAGATTGTTATTTTGATTAATATTCTCACCCTCCACGATGTTGAATTTAATATAGAGTTTCCTTCTGGTATGGAAAATATAATTTAGCAAATTCAATGCATATTTAGCAAATCGCATAGGCCACCTAATTTCATAACAACTACTTCCACTTGGACCAATTAAAAAACAAACGAGCAATTGACGAAGACGATGTTAAAATGACAGTTAAGTGTTATGTAAATAATAGGGTTCTAAAAAGCTTTCCTAAGCTCGGAGTTCGGGCAAAATGCCTCGTTTCGCGCCCATTGCCTAAACGATTGAATTTTTTCCTTCATTTCTTTCGTCTTCCGTAGACGCACTTTATTAAATTTTTTAAAAGTTTTTTTATTTGACTTTAGCTTATTATTGTTATTATTATTTAAAAGAAACTTTTATTTGACTTTAATTTCAAATTTTTAAAAGATTTTATATGTACAAAAGTTAAAAATGACTTTATCTAGATAATTAAATAAGATTTAAGTGTTGGTATTATCAATATTATGTAATTATGATCCTAAAACTCATTTTATTACAAATTCCAAAACTGTGTATGAAGTTTCCATAAATCCATGAAGTTGAATTTGTCAAATTGAAATTTGAAACTACGAAAAATATTCTAATTTTTGCATTTCAAAAAATTGAAAATTGTATAATTGATTAATGGTATAAGTTATTGAGTAAATATTGTATTTTATAATTTTAGATGTTTAATATATATTATTTTAATTATTAAATAATTTTTAAAATGATTAAAATTTTAAAATAATATTATAAATAAGAAAACGTTTTTTTTACTCCTAAATCTCACCTAGGCTCGCTTCAGCTCGTAAAACTTGAAACTTCGACTCTATGCCTAGTGATGTTTTACGCTTTTTAGAACATTGTTAAATAATGATGGCATTAAATATCCATAGATTTCTCTAGTTCAAAAAGCATGTCATATTGAGATTGGACGGTCGAAAACCATTTTGAGAATGTTTAATATATTGGATTGAACTTTGCATTTGATATGAATATCTCATTTTATCCAGTTCTACGTGTGGAATTCAAAGAACACGGTGAACAAGTGCCCCTAAAATTAAAGAGGCCAAACATGACACTCGAATGGGCACAAAACCAGCAAAATTCAAAAGATTTAAAGTAAAACAGGCCAATATCCACTATTGCTAAGAGGAATTTGATCCAACTGGATCTGACATTTGAAATTTGTCTATTCAATCAACGGCCGAGGACTCAACAAAAAAAATCAAAGAAAAAACACAAAAATGGAATGATTTTCCCACCCCCTTATGTATACAAACTACAGAACTACTTTTTCTTCAAGAGCATATTCACGTCGACATAACTGTGATTCTCTATTTACAGGTGTACAATTACGATACTTCTTTCTCTATTTACAGGTGTACAATTACAATTACACACGTGGCCTCCTCTCGTGAGATGGAGTTGGCCACACACACTCTAATGGTCAAGTTAGTTGGGAGAACAAGTATATGAGTGTGAGAAGGTTTTAAACGTGCCTCCAATATAAAAGGGGGGTGGTTTTGGGAGTATTGTATAGAAAAAGAGAGCAAAGTCATAGCTTAAAAGTCCAAACTTGCATTACCTTCAGGTGACCTTAAGTGTGAGCTTTTATAGTACAAGAGTATGAATGGGGACCGTTGGATGAAGAGACATGAGGCTTTCATCCATGTGATTGTCACTTCCTCTCATAGATGTCAATTAGTCAAAGGGAATAAATGCTAACACCGCTTTATCATCCATACAGCCTAACTTGTGGATGTGGACTTGATTGAATAGGCTAAAAGTGGCGACGGTGGCAGAGATATCATGTCAGTCATATCAAAAGATTGACTGAAAGATTTTGTGTTAGGCTCGTCCTGTCTTCTTTGCCTCTGCTCGTTGAGGCTGCTACCTGTGGAGATTACCTTGCTTCGGACCATACGGGTTCAGATATACATGGGCTCGAATATGTGTGATGCAGCCCATCTTCCATCAGGCCTAGGCTAGACCATAATTAGAGCCTCATTCTCGTAACAGTAGTCAATGAAGATATGTTATAAATTGAGGAGTACGATCGCAACTCACCATAGCATGTAGCCAAGACGTCCTTCCTCATTGCAGACAATGCCTCACTAGCAATCACCTTTAGAGCCTATGCATGCCTGCCAAGATACATAATGCAGTAGAATCAATTTTTTGATCGTTAGAAAGAAAAAAGTGAGTTCCATTTGTGAGTGAAGAAATAAAAAATGACGGTTGACCATGTTAAGTAACGATTAAACAATTAATTTTTTGGCTTGAAAAATCAGAACCAAACGGAGGCATAATGTTTTCCTATGAAAAAAAAATTGTGTAGTTAGCATGCATGATTTGTGAGGGAAAAAATTTAAATAAAAAATAAATAAAAGTAGCTATTTTAAAAGTTTGGAATCCACAAATCGTGTGGACTAAAATTTATAAGTCAAACTAATAAGCCAAATTCGTTTGACACTTATAAGTTAGATTTATAGATTTTGATCCATACTATTTGTAGATCCCAACTTATAAGATAGCAGTTATA